CTGCGCTCTCTCCCATTCGCTGCAGGATTAAAACCATGTTTAACAAAGCCCGAACACCATTAAACCCATAGCTTCTCCATCGAAGGGCTGCATACAACAATAGACTGGTACAATGGCAGCGTATACGTCAGCTGCACTCAACTCAGGGGGACTGTGGAAGAGCTTAAAGTGACCACACAGGAGGGTGTCCCAAAAACCTCCTGAAGTCACACTGTCGAAACCTGTCGGAGCAGGCAGGACACGTCCAGGAATGTGTGAAAGCTTTTGTCTTTTTCGTGCAAAAAAATAAATAGGAAGTAGTTTGACACATTTTTAGATGGTGGAATTCTGCTAATTGTAAACAAAACAGGAGAAATAACCTCCAAAATGTTAATTTAATTACCCAGAGGTACATCTTAAAGGAAGTTTACGATGAAAATGAGAATTACATGTTGTCCTCTTTACACAGAAAATACAGGAAACTAGCAGTAAAAGTTAGACTCGCGCATGATTTACAAATAATATGAATAAACCTTCTCCACATGCAGGAAACATACCTTCACAATAAGAGCATCCCTGAACATCCATCTGTATGATCGGTGGCCATCCATGAGCAAACTAAAGATGAAGATAGACTAACTGAGGGGCTTTCATGTTTTAGTTCAAGGTTTCAGTCCGTGTGTGTGCGCGCGCGCGCCCCCTTCCCTCCCGCTGAGTTTCCCTGTAGCGGGGAGCCACCTGCCGGGACGAAGGGAGAGCTCCGAGCCGGTATACGGGGACGCTCAGTAACGTGTTACCGCGGTAGGATTACTACTAAAGAGACAAAGACAAAGACACACGGCTGCACTTTAATACTCAAACATCAGAGAGGGGTGAACTCATAGCCGCATTCCTTCCTCTGCTTTCAGACAGGTTTAAAGTGGATTTGAAGTAGAATATGGAGGAAAGCGTCTGGTTTTCTTCTTCTGCAGGTGGAGCTACTTTGAAATATTTGCTTTTGATCGAGCAATGGTGTTGAATATGAACTCGGCGCAGTTTAAACGATGAGCAGTTGTTTGTTTGTTTTCGCCAGATGATTAAAACGACCGGGTTGTACACGCTTTTGTTCACTTGTTTTGTTATATTTGCTCGTATTTATTGAACGCTGGCCGAGCCTTTATCAAGAGAAAACTTTTTGGAGAAGAAATAGTGCGCAATGGTCAGTGTTTCATGATACGTAAATGTCCTCTCTAAGACAAAAAAATACCATAAAGGTTTCTCCAAAATCGCATGAAATACATTTGGAAACTTTAAAAATATCCTTCAGGTTTTATGTTTAATCCAAGTTCTGTGCGTCTTGGCGAGACACTTTTGAAGACACATTAATCGAATTATTTATAACAATCACATAATAATCTCAAATTGTCTTTAAAATAATCCACTTTTGCTTCTGTAATTCTGTTGAAGTCTGGATGATTTCGGCCCCTTCGGCATTTTGCGTGTGTGTGTGTTTCCAATGTCTGCTGCCTCATTGCGTGATCAGTTTGAATACCTGACCAAACTAATTGGAGTTACTCCATGGGTCAATGCCCAAATCCCCAAACATTGTTAAAAAACACTTAACGATCCAATCTCCGATATGACTGTAATTAGTATTTGTGTTTCAGTCACAGATAGAGAGGCCTGTCACGTTCAGGAAGAAGTTTATAAAAAAAGGTGTTTGCTTTAATCACGTTTTCGGTGCTATTGTTTCGGAAACCAAAGGAAAGTCCACTTGTTTGATTTGAATGGAAAACAAAGGGAAAACATTTCTGTTTCAGATTTCTTTGGGTTAGAATCTTACTTTAAGATTCCATGATGTATTAAGAGTTGTAAGAGTTTGGTACAATAATAAACAACGAAATGTAAAGCTCATTATTATTTGCATCTTATTTTGTGAATACAACGGGTTAATTAAAACGTAACAAAACTGCTGATTATCGAAATATCATCGGGTCAGCATGCATACAGGTTAATGTTTCGATTGCAATTCCTGAATATAATCGGAATGAAGGTGACAACTTTGAGAAAACATTGAGAAAACACCAAAAACTCAACTTTGTATCGAAGCTTATTCAAGTTATTCCAGTTTCCAATTCCTTTTGTTGCCTTGAAATCAAGCGCACCGTCCCTTTTGCAAACCCCAAAACACAACGAACTGGAAAAAAATAAACGGTTTTTCAACTCCCAAAAGAAACCATGTCGCTTTAAAAAACTGTAGAACAGCAGCGAAGGCACAAGGAGTGTGTATTTGTAGAAATATTACAAATAAAAAGGCTTAGAGGACACTAAATGTCCCGTCTATATTGTACAATATAGATAGATAGATAGATAGATAGATAGATAGATAGATAGATAGATAGATAGATAGATAGATAGATAGATAGACAGATAGACAGATAGACAAAGGAAAATAGATGATTTTTAAAAGTCTAGAGAAGCTGTTCGCTGAAAGAGCTGATTTAGTGGTCTATAAATTGAACATGCAAATCAAATTACTTCATGACAAACCCGTGAAAACCTTGAGTAGCGAACTAAGAAGCATCAAACACTTTAAGTCACCGGAAAACAAGAAAACAACAACACACTTTAAAAGGGACCTATTTAACTTTTGAGAGAGCTCAATCGTTCCTTTTGTGATTTTTTGCGTGATTAGCCTTGAATGTTGCATTTTCTTAAATATGCAAAGGCCACGAATAGGAAGAAGATAATAGGAAGAAGATAATAGGAAGAAAGGAGAGTAACGCCAACTAAAAGCATTTCGATCACGCGTAAAAGCTGTTTCAATAGCACATAGCATTAAGACAACTCAGCGCGATGGGTTCAGGGTTTCACGCCATTATACTGTGGACACTTTTATTATTTACATTTTGTTCTCACTTGAAGGTCAGGCAGTTTTCTTTCAGCCAATCCGCTGCAGCGCAGCGTCTCCTCAGCAGCAGCAGGAAGCTGAGGCCCTCCCATTAACACCCCTAGTGTCAGCACTAATGAGGGACACAGTGGCTGCTCTGTGCTCCCAAAAACCACACACACACACACACACACACACACACACACACACACACACACACAACTATATGTTTGAGTTGGTATGAATGTTGGTGTACTCCATGCGTAAAGCTCCTGCAACACGTGTTTTCTAAGAGGTGGTTAAAGTCTGCAGTGCACAAAAGGCCTCCTGGTTCACGCATTGTTGACATCAAAACAAATGGGCTCAGTTTGACCTACTTTAATTTTAATTCTTGGATTTACTTTTCGAGTTTTTTTTGTATTTATTTATGAAAGGGGCCATCTGCAGACGTATTGGGTTATTTTACTTGTGGGCAGATGTTGGCGAGGCAGCGCGCACTCCAATGCACGCACATGATGATACCTTCGATCTGTATTTGAAGTATAAGCTCAATGTTGTTGACAACGTGTCGACAGCTTTTAGGCAATAAAAAAAAACCTCCAAGAGCAGCAGCTCGTCATTCGTGGGCCCACACTGTGTACAATAATACATAGATCGTAAGATTTATGTTTATTGCACGAATGTTTCCTCTTAAATATTATCTGATTTAATATAATCTAATTTTACCGCTATTATTACTATTATTCTATAAATCTGCAGCGTGTTAATAAAGATACATCTCTATTGGTTATATGTTGATCGTCAAGTTAAGATCCCATTTCTTGAAAACTACAATGTTTGAGCAGTAGCCTGTAATAATATTTTCGATGTGTGGGTAAAAAAAAAAAAAAAAAAAAAAGGAATTAGATGCATAAACACCTGCTGTTCACTGAAATATTACTGAATAAGTCCACCCTTATAAACGGGACAGGACATGACTGTTAGTGTATTAAAAAAGTGCAGCGTTCCAGTAATATAGGCTATAGTCTGTGAATAAGTGTGTAACGGATGACGCACATAATAAACACAGAGGGGTTGGGCTCGCGGCGCTGCGGGAAGGTTTGAATGAAGCGCGCGGGGATGACAGAATATCAGCAGTGTGTTTAGAGAGGAGCTCTGGATGCACCGAGGGGCCGATCTACCGGACAGCAACACGTTTCCTTTCACGTTACACAAACACACGAAGCTGCACAAGGAACCACGCTGCAGTGTTTTTGGGGTGCTGTGCTGGAAGCAAAGAGATGTTTTATTTTTTTATTTTATTTCCGTAGCCTCGGAGTTAAATGTGCTTTTCTTCTTGCTTCTGGCTTTCGGCGGATATTTTGTCAAGATGGGAACGAAATGTGACCGTTACGCATGATGTCACACACATGCAATATTGTACGCAGATATTAATTAATAATATTTTTTAATGTAAATGTGGACACCATTTTTTTTTCTGACAGCCGTAAGGCCATTAAGGCTTCAAGCACATTTAAGGCCCTTGGCGCGTGCCCAAACCCCTGTGGCGTATTTATGGGTGACTTTTTAACCTGCTTAAAATAATATAAGGTAACGTAACATAAAAAACACATGCATCATAAAAACATATATATTTGTATGATGGTTCTGTTCGATGTTATATTATGCACTGTCCTTTGTTGATGTTCTTTTAATATTCCTCCTTGTGGAAAGCAAATTCTCCCATAAGGGCTAAAGAGGTTTCATTCATTAAAAAAAATCTTTGTTTTGGTTTGTAAACATCTTCAGCCTGGCTTTGGCCCCTGATGTGACCGTTTCACAAGGCAGCTGAGCGGTGTTCTGGGCGGGGCAGCTCTACTCTTCAACTCTGATTGGCCGAGGAGCCAATTGAAGGCCCCAAACACCAGTCACCCAATCAATAATATAGGCAAAACAAATTCGAAATGACCCATTGACCTGGGCCAAAGAATAACATATGCTACCAAACATATCATACAGGTCTTAACTAGCAGCTGACAGCTAGGCTAGTTAGCTCAGTTGATGACACATTGTATACAATGTGTCATGTGTCAAAATGATAATGATGCTTTAATAAACTTCAGATATATCTAAAGTTTGTTAAAGCATTATTATCATTTTCATAGAGCCTTACCTGTGTCTCAGAGAGATTCAGCTGCCTCGCGAGCTCGGTGCGCTCGCGGCCCACGACGTACTGGCACCTTTGGAACTCGAGTTCGAGCCGGTACAGCTGCTCGGCCGTGAAGGAGGTCCGCGTGCGCTTCGGCCGGTCCAGGTCGAGGCCCTTCGGTAGCACGATCTCGCGGATGGTGCCTTTGGCGTCTGTTCGGAATGAAACGGAAACCAAAACAAAAGTCTTTAGACAACATAAACCAAACAGCTGCTTAAATTCAACGGCAGTGAGTTCTCCACGGAGACTATTATTGTTCACTATAATCTGAATGGAATCACTTGTTCAATGGGGTAAAAACAGAACACACCTTTCTTTACGGACGGAGTGAATCTATAGCCTGCATCGTGCCAAACAGATGAACTATTAATGAGTATGGCTAATGGCTTTAAAGAGAAAATGGATGTCTTTGAGATATACATCCTACGTGTGTGTGTGTGTGTGTGTGTGTGTGTGTGTGTGTGTGTGTGTGTG